GAAATAGTGTGAATTTTAATTTTATTAAATTTATTATATAATTATTATTAAATACTTTTATATTATTAATCTTCTTGAGTTTCTCTTTCTTTTTTTTTATATTATTAATCTTCTTGATTTTCTTTTTTCTTTTATTATATAATTATTATGAATGTGAATAAATTTTATCTGGGATTAAAAATATTAAGACTATGAAAATTTTAAGAGGTTATAATAGCTAGAGGATGACTTCTTTTATTTGAAATTAAAAGTCTTAAAATTAAGTATTCTTTAAACATTTAAGTGATCTCAATTTTTAAAAATTATATATAAAGATTTGGATGAGTGATTGTAGCTAATGTTCATCAAAGAAAGAGCAAGAGTAAGCCCGGTTAAACTTGTGTTTTTCAACTGGTGTTGAAAGCTTTTAAACCTTTCTTATTATTTGAGCTGTGGCGTGAACTTTTAGAATTTGAGTTTTAAGTGCTTTAATTAAGCATTTTAGAGGGATTTAAGTAGTTTTAATTTTATATAAGAAATTTTTTAACTTATATTTTTAAAATGCATGTTAAAAGCACATTTTCATCATAAATATGTATAAAAAAATGCAAAAGATTGACAATTAAAAAAAATAAAAGAGTAACCCTTCAAATACTCCGTAGTATTTACTATGGAGTTTTAACCTTTTCAAAAAAAATTCCCTTTCTAAAAATTTAATTTAGTTTAGTTAATTTTTTAATTCAAAACTAATTAAAATTTTTTAAAACTCAAAATAAAAAAATAATCAAAGTACTAGGGAGTACTAAACTAACTCGATTAATCTCTGAGGCAACTTGAAACCATTTCTCTACTCTTTCTTCCATTTAAAAAAAAATATTTTAATTTTACGTTTTATTTGTTAAATGAGAGGGAGGAAGGATTGTGCTTGGTTGGATTAGGCCTTCTTTGTCCCAATAAAATGGCCCAATGACAAGAGGTCATTTTCTTGATGAACCAATAAAATGGCCCAGAGGGCTTTGTTTACAGTTAGCCCAATAGACTGGTCTATAAATCTGTACCCTGCACCAGAACCGTCCGATTCTGGTCTCTTCTAAGTTCTATATCACAGCCGCCTGATTGGATGAATACTCAATCCATTTCCTCTCAGCATTAAAAATGCACCGGAAAGTACGGGAAGCGACCCAAACAAACCCAGATCCAGATTATATCTAGCGTGCCATGGGATTGGGTTACGGTTTAACCGAGTCATTCCTTATTTTTTACAAAGAAAAAAAACAAAAAAATCACCTCTTCAGGGTAATTTTTATTATTGGAGATATTACATACATAATTTTAACTGCACAACTTTATATATAACTTGATTTGATATTAAATTAGTAAATTATTAAATTTTATTTATAGAAAAATGAATCAATTATTTGTGCCACATCGAGTTGTAAATAAATTTATATAATTAAGGTTTGTGTGTATAGCTTTTTCCTGCTTCATGGAGACTTAGAAACCTCCTAATATTAAACCTGAGATTTTGTTTTCGTAAAATCTAAAATGTATTCACATAATTAAAATCAATCAATTCGAATCAAATTAATACCTCCATTTTATGAATATGTTAAACTCTATTTCATGTGATTGTGATTTTTTTTT